TGATTAGAGATATTAAGCATTTTTTCTTATGTTTGTTAGCCATTAGTCTGTTTTCTTCTGAAAAATTTCTGTTCATGTCCTTAGCCCACTTTTTAATGAGGTTGATTTTTTTCTTGTTGATTTTCCTGTTGAGTCCTATATAGATTCTAGTTATCAGCCCTTTGTCGAATATATAGCATGCAAATATTTTCTCCCAAGAATAGCTGAATGGATTTTTTTTAAAGACCCAATTATACATTGTCTACAAGAGACTCACATTAGCTATAAGAACACATAAGGTAAAGTAAAAGGCTGGGAAAAGATATTTCATGAAAATTGTAACCAAAGGAGAGAAGGGGTGGCCATAATTATATCAAACATACTTTAAGTAAAAAACTGTCACTAAAGGCAAAGAGGTCATTATATAATGATAAAGGGGTGAATTCATGAAGGAGATACAATAAATATATATGCACCTAATATCCAAAGCTCCCAAATATATACTGCAAACATTGCTAGAATTAAAGGATGAAATAGCAATAGAATAACAGTAAGTGACTTCAATACCTCACTTTCAATAATAGGTAGAACAACCAGACAAATGATAATAAGAAATTGAAGGATTTGAAAAACACCATAGACCAAATGGACCCAACAGACATATACAAAGCACTCCACTCAATAACAGCAGGATACACATTCTTCTCAAGCACACATTGACTATTATCCAGGATAGACCACATGTTAGGCCACAAAACAAGTCTTAGCAAAGACTCTTTAAGAAAATTGAAATCACACAAGTATCTTTTTAATCATAATAGAATGAAACTAGAAATCAACAGCAGAAAAACAATGGGAAAATACACAAACGTGTTGGAAACTAAACAACACACTCTTAAACAACCAATGGGTAAAAGAAAAAATAACAAAGGAAATCAAAAAATAATTGGGACAAATGAAAATAACACAACATACTAAAACATAATAGGATGCAGTGAAAGCAGTATGAAAAGGAAAGTTTATAACAGCAACTGCTTACATTAGAAAAGAAAAAAGATCTCAGAGAGGGAGAGAGGGAAAAGGGGAGAGGGAGAGAGAAAGAGGGGGAGAGGGAGAGAGAAAGGGAGAGAGGGAGGGATGAGAGAAAGAGGGGGAAAGGGGAGAGGGGGAGAGGGAGAGGGAGAAAGGGCCAGGGAGAGAGGGGGTAAGCGGGAGAGGAGAAGGGGAAGGAGGAGGAGAGGGAGAGGGGAAGAGAGGGGAGAAGGAAGAGGAGGGAGAGGTAGGGGAGAGGGGGAGAGGAGGGAGGGAAAGGGGGAGAGGGAAAAGGGGAGTAGGGGAGAGCAGGAGGGGAGGGGTGGAAAAGAGAGGGAGAGGGAGGAGGAGAAGAGGGGAGGGGGAGGGAGAGGAAGGGGAAAAGAGAAAGAAAGAAAAGAGAATTAATAAGTCCTGCGAAGTGGAGGATACAAAATTAACACACAATAAACAGCTGTGCTTCTATATACTAACAATAAACAATCCCAAACCAAAATATTTAGAAATACCAATTACAACAGCATCAAAAGAATAAAACACTTAGAAATAAACTTAACCAAGCAGGCAAAAGACTTATACAGTGATACCTACAAAAATTACTGAAAGACATAAATAAATAGAAAGTCATTCTGTGTTCATGGATTGGAAGACATGTTCATACCACCCAAAGCAATTTACAGATTCAATGAAATCTGTACCAAAATTCCAATGGCATTTTTTGCTGAAATAGGAAGAAAAATCTAACATTCATATATAATATTAATTATTAATATTATACCCCTGAATACCTAAAACAATCTTGAAAAGGAACAGGGCTGGAGGCTTCACATGCCCCAATTTCAAAAAATATTACAAAGTTATAGTAACCAAAATAGTGTGATACTGGCATAAATACAAACACACAGACCAATGGAACAGCAAAGAAAGCCCCAAAATAAGCACTATTCTACAAGTGTGCCAAGATCACACAGTGGGGAAAGGAATCTCTTCAACAAATGGTGCTGGCAAAACTGTATATACACATGCAAAAGGATGAAGTTGGACCTTACCTTATACCATATACAAAAATTAACTCCAAATGAAAGACCTACATGTAAGACTCAAAACTATAAAACTTCTAAAAGAATACAGGAGAAAATCTTTATGATCTTGGATTTGGCAAAGTGTTTTTAAATATTACACCAAAAGCACAGGTAACAAAAGCAAAAATAGACAAATTGAACTACAAACTTAAAAATGTGCATGCATTGGAAAAAAAAAAAAAGACAAAGGCAACCTACAGAATGAGAAAAAATGTTTGCAAATCAAGCTGGGTTGTGGCTCACGCCTATAATCCTAGCACTCTGGGAGGCCATGGTGGGAGGATTGCTTGAGGCCAGGAGTTCAAGATCAGCCTGAAAAAGAGCAAGACCCAATTTCTACAAACAATAGAAAAATTAGCCAGGTGTGGTAGTGCACACCTGTAGTCCCAGCTACTGCAGAAACTGAGGAAGGAGGATTGCTTGAGCCCAGGAGTTTAAGGTTGCAGTGAGCTACGATGCCACTGCACTCTAGTGTGGGCAACAGAGTGATTCCCTGTCACACACACACACACACACACACACACACACAAATTGCAAATCATCTATCTGGAAAGGGGTCAGTAGTAGAATGTATAATATAAAGGATTCCTACAACTCAGTAACCTATAGCCTGATCAAATAATAGATAAATGACTGAATTGATATTTCTCTTTAAAAAGAAATACAAATGGCCAAGAAGCTTATGGAAAAGATGCTTAACATCACTAATCATCAGGAAAATGTGAATCAAGAACACAATGAGATATCCCCTCATACCCACTAAGATGACTAGTATCTAAAAAAATGGAAAGTAACAAGTGCTGTTGAGGGTGTGGAGAAATTGGAGCCTTCGTGCACTGCTGATGGGAATGTAAAATGGCATAGCTACTATGGAAACCCTTTACCCGTCTTCCCCAGATGTGAACATCTTGCATAATCACGCAAGATGATGTGTAATTATCAAAGTCAGAAAAATAATATTTATAAGATACTATTAACTAATCTATAGACCTTATTCAAATTTCATCAGTTATCCCACTAATGACATTTCTTGAAATCTGTTTTGTGGATCTGAGGCCAGTATCACACATTACATTTTTTCATAATTCCTTCCTCTCACCCAATCTTGGACAGTTCCATACATTCATTGTCTTTCATGGCCTTGACACTTTCAAAAGGTATTAGCCAACTGTTTTGTAAAATGTTCTTCAATTTGTGTTTGTGTCATGTTTCCTCATTTGGAATTCATGTTGTGCATTTTGGGCAGGAATAACATAGCACAGCATATTGAGGGGGGGAGGGGAGAGTGCTGGGGGAGAGACTCGTCATGTCAATGTCTCATTACAGGTGCTATTAACTTGAAGTGCTTGTTGAGGGGGTGTTTGCCAGATTTCTCCACTGAGGAGTAAATGCTTTTTCCATTTCTAACTATGGATATCTTGTTAGGAGATGTTTAGCCTACTAAGTGTAGCATCCACTGATAGTTCTTGCCTGCAAAATTACACAGTTGGTATTTGTCAAATAGTAGTGTTTTATTTCCATCTTTTCTTCTACATTTATTAAGCAGGATTCTATCATAATGAGAATCTGTTCCTTCTCCCTCTTTTATTTATTTATAACACTATGGACTGAACATTGCTTTATTCTATGAGTATGAACAATTTTAAAGATTTTGGACATAACTTATTAGATCACTCTCAGATACACTGTACTAATTTACACTCCCTCAGGTACTGCATGAGTCAGCCACCTTTCCAAACCCACACTACCAGCAATTATCTATAAATAACAAATGCATTTGATGATAAAAGGTATCTAATTGCCTTTCTTTGCATTTTATTGCCACCTCAGTCTCTTACATATATTCATTGTTAATTTTTCATTTTCCATTATTTGTCCTTTTATAAAACATTGCACATTTTTCTCTTGCCATCTATGTGTTTGTGAGATCTTTATTCACTAAGGATATTATTACAAACATAATAATTTTCCCAATTTTTTTGCATTTAATTTTTAATAATGAATGTAAATTTTACAGTTTTATACAGTTAAATCTATTAATATGTTCCCTTTTTATGCTGGTGTAAAAAAGTTCCTTCCCAAAGAGAAGATATTCAACATGTTCTCTTAGATATCTGATACACCTATTTTTTACACGTATTTATTTCATTCTTCTGGAATACATTCCACTAGCTTTTCCAACATAAAAATGTTTCCTTGTTTCAGTATGTTCCTCCTAAATTCAGGAATTTATAAAGGTGGAATTTAAATCAATGGGGAAATAGATGTAATTTTTAATAAATTGTGCTGACTATCCATTGGGGGAAAAATATATCCTTACCTCATACTATTTATAAAAGTGGATTCCACATGGATATACAGATATTAGGAAAATATTTTTATCAAGAAAATATGAACTCTGCAACTCTAGCCCTCTGAAAAATACAAGACAGATTATCCCTGCAAGGTCTGATAGCCTTGGACTAATGTGTGATAAATATGATTAAGAAATCCATATTGATATAATATTTATACACTATTGCCAATATCTCAGATTATAAACCATGGCATATAATGGTAACATATTTTTATTGTTAATGCAAGTTTTTCTTTGATTATTCTTACTAAGACTCAAATATACCTCAAAGAAAGATTTTTATTTTAATAAAAAGGGGTCCATAAGTTTAAATAGTAACAGTATAACAGATCTGCAAATTTTTAAGATTACTAATATAAATATTGATTTCTATTACATGTAGGCATAATAGAACACCATAAAAAAGATATCGGCAATGTGACTAGGGAGAAAACATAAAACTAAGTCATCATGAATTCAGGTCTTTTTCCCAACACAAATAAAACAAAAGTGCTCCAATTGCTATATTCAATTAGCTGTAAATATCCCATCATGAAAGCAAACAAGCACACCTCATGATGTCAGCGGATATGGTACTCCCGGAAGCACTTGGCATGGACACCCTTCTGGCACTTCTCACACCGGGTGTTGGTCTGTGAGTGGCAGAGGGCGCATCGGGTCCTCTTGTGCTGGTGGATGATCCAGTGCCCAATCATATCAAAGCGGCTCTCAGTTTCCAGCCGCCTACTTCGCCTCCCTTGCGAGGAAGTGTCAGCATTGCTCTCCAGATACACACAGGCAACATATCTCCGAAAGGCAAGGAGGTCCACCTGGGCGTCCTGGCAGCAGATCCTGTGCAGCTGCCAGGCGTTGTTCAGGGCTGCATCAATGACATAGCCAATGAAGCTCGAGTACCACTTCATGCCTCGGATCTTCACCTTGTACTTGGCGATATTCTGGTCCATCCGGCCAACACCCCTCGCCTTCTCCTGATACAGCTTCACCAGCGATGGCTGATGGACCTGGGTCCGTGTTTTAGTTGCTCCTGACTGACGGCTGGTCAGCCTCACTGGCTCTATGCCCACAGCATTGGAGCAGATGTTGACCACACTGCTATCATGCCAGCGGCACACAATGATCTCTTCACTCTCATCAACTTTATAATCAAATGAACCCCTCTTCATTTTTTTCAGTTCCTTGGGATCTTTGAGGGGACATCGCTCAGTCCTATACTCACAAACAGTTCCTGTGGCCTTCACCCCCTTTTTCCTCAAAATGGACATCAGTTTGACACTGGTAAAAACCTTGTCAAAAAAGATGTGGTATGGCAGAAAACCACGCTCCTGAAGCGCATCCACAAACTTTATCACCATACTGCCTCCCAGATCCAAGCTCCTGTCTGGCTTGGTGAACAGTGTGCCCTGTGAGGGCTCAAACCACACCAAGTAGCCTCTGCTGGTGGTCCCACACCAGATCTTACAGCCGAGCCGCACGGGCTTTCCTGCGTGCAGCTGCTTAGAGCCCCGGTGCCCAAAGTACTCACACATGGATTCACCAAAGCTGTAGAACTCTTCCAAAGGTGCATGCTTCTGGAAATTGCAGTTCATCCGAACTATGAGAGGCCTGACCTTGGCAAACCTATCACTTTCATCAAGTTTGTTGTTATCTGCAAAATGTAGATATGAGAAGATTAATTCAAATCTGTCCCTTCGAATTGCATCAGCCACAAGATGGTGATGTGAGTCAGGAGAGGTCTCCCAAAACATTCTCCTCCTTGGATAGGAGATGTACCCACTTAAAATCAAAATGCCCAAAACACACTTCAATTCCTGGGCTGTGAGACTCAGGTTGACATTTTTTTGCCAAGCATAACGATTGGTTTCACTAACAATGAAATTAATTGTTCCTTCATCAAAAAACAACTCAAAGAGGCCAACAGGACTCAGTTCCTGGCTTTTGAGATCCTCAATATGAGGATCTGATGCTGTCCAACTGCCAAATTCTGGTCGAATATCTCTTTTGGTCCAAACGCGCTGAGGTTTTACTACAGTCTTTTGCCTCTTCTTGGCCGGCTGCAGCTCCAGGTCATCATTATCCTCACTGGTGCCAGACTCCTCAGACAAAACTGAAGCGTGCAGCACGCTGCCAGGCAGGTGAGCACCTCGCTGACCATCTTCATCACCTGAGTCCTCATCAGTGAATTCCCCTGAGGCATTATCGGGCGGTGCGATGAAAATCTCCTCTCTACTACTGCTGGACTCTCCCTCCTCCAGAGCACTCAGAACCTCAAGCAGCTTCGCAGGCCTCACCTTTGGGGGAAGGCCCCTCCCAGCAGTGACATCTCTGCAACAACCGGAAACAAGGTCAGGATGAGCCACACCAGACAGCCAACACCCCAGCAGGACAGGGCAATGCTACCACCGAAAGCACCTTTGTTTGAACAGCCTCACATATCTGGCACCACCAGGCACAGCACCAGGTGAGTGAATTTTCCAGATAAACACACATCACACTTTTAAGTGCAGAGTTTTACTGATGAGAAGCAGTCTGAGGAGGCATTACCTACTTCCTTTCCTTCTTAATAATGTTTTGAATAGACGATCCCTTCAGGTGATGAATCCTGGGGTCATCACCCCAGGTAACAGCAATTGCAGTGGGAAGCCCTGGTCGCTGGAAGCAAAGCCCACTGCCATGCCTCAGACGCAGTGGGGCACGGGACTCATGTCCCAGCAGCTCTGTGACTGCACTTCTCTTACTTATCTCTTCCTGTACTCTTATTTGACAAACAGAAGTTTCCTTCACTTCCCAAATTCTCAAACTCTTCCTACTTGAAATTTCACTACCTGAATTCAAGAACTTAGCACATTAGCATTTTCAGATGTCTCCCTGTGGCTATCTTACTGCATGCTAACTGCAATTCAGAAGCCAAGTAGATTTGAAAAACATGGAAATTTTTGCCATTCTAACTCTCACCCTGTGGACTTAGGAACCAAATGGATGGCAAGAGGTTCATATGCTCCTCGACTTACAATGGGGTTATATCCCAATAAGTCCATTATAAGTTGAAAATGTTAAGTAAAAAAATGCACTAAATACACCTAACCTACCCAACATCATAGCTTATCCTAGCCTAACTAAAATGTGCTCAGAACACTTACATTAGCATACAGTTGAGCAAAATCATCTAACACAAAGCCTATTTTACAATAAAGCATTGACTATCTTATGTAATTTACTAAATACCATACTGAGTGTGAAAAACAGAATAGTTGTATAGGTACTCAAAGTACGGTTTCTACTGAATGTGTAGTATTTTCATGCCATCATAAATCAAACCAAGGCAAGTCAGGAACTGTCTGTGCTTATATTTAATGAGCACCAATGGTGGGCAGACTCCACCCTCAACCTGCATAACACTTAAGTTCTAATTAGAGGAGACAGACAACAGATCAACAAACAAGTAGCTATACAGGACAGTGTCAGGTAGTGATGAATACCAACTTGGATAAGGGACTGAGAATGCAATAAAGGGGTATAGCTAGGGATGCTATTCTAGACAGGATGGTGAGGGAAGGCTGAGGAAGACAGCATGGGGGCCTGAAGTAGGTGAGAGAGTGAGCCCCGCAGACAGCTGGAGACAGGATTCCCCAAGCAGAGAGAAAGAACTACAGGTGCATAGCCCTGAAGCTGAAGGCACTCAGCGTCTGCAGAACAAGGAAGCCAGCGAGGCTGAAGGTGGAGTGAGGACGGACAGCAGAGAGGTGGTGGTGGGAAGCAGGCCCTACAGGACTCCAGCGGGCCCTGGCCAGGACTTCCAGTGGTGTTCAGCTGTCACAGGAAGCCCCAGGGACGATAGAACAGGGCAGTGAGGAGTCATATCTAGGCTGTAAACACATCACTCTGGCTAGGAGAATGGAGACTGGGCACAGATGCCCCAGTTTGCTGTTCCGTGCCCTTCTCCAGGCCCCAACCTTCATGTAAAGACCCTCCACCCAAAAGAAAGTAAGAAAAATTTACTGCAGAGGCTACTTCAGTGCACACTGGCCCATGGACTTTGGAGTTCAGGTTGCATTGACCCCAAACTCACTTCCTGGACACTGACTCCACCAGCCTGCATGCTGACCTTCAGGGACATGGGGTATTCACACATCTGAACTGTGCATGGGTCACGAGGAGAGACCAGCTTGAAGGGAGAGGAAACCGAGGGCCCTTCCTATGAGCCTTGGACTGAGACAGATTCTCGGGAACAGCAGCTACCTTCACACCTTCCCTGCCCTAGCCTCATCATCTTCACAGGGGCAGGGCCAGGGCAAGGGCCCTGCCAGTCTTAGTGCTTGAGCTCCTGCTCATCCTAAGACCCTAAAACAACTTCTGCACATGACTATTCGTATCCTGAGCATAGGAAAGCCTGCAGGGGACTCTGGCACCCCAGGGGCAACTGTTTGGTGTCTTCATTTTGAAAGATGAAGACAGTGAAGTCATGTTTTTATTAATATATTAAGTATAGACACTTGTGCTACATGACCACACCCATACCACACACAACTCCCTGTCTGGCCCATCTCTTCTCCATTCTTCTCCCATTTCTCTTCTCTCCTTTCCTCAATTATGCTTCCTGGACACCAACTGTTTAGTGAGGTCAGCAGGACTAAGGGCTAAAAATGTCACAGACTTGGCTTTCCAAAATCATATGGGAGCAAATACTTCCATAAAGCATTTCGTCAAACGACACTCCTACCTTGAAGTTGAAGCCATGATTCACTGGGAAGACAAGGCTGTCTCTACTCACAGAGTCTATGAATCTGTAAGACAATCAAAGTCAATTTTTAAAAATCATATTAAAAAAGCAGTAGGATCTTCTCTGCCACTTAAGGGAAAAACATCTCCAGCTTAAGGTTCACTACCATAGGGGTGTTTGGTCTACTAGTTAGTCAGAGGAAAAAATAATCAGTTCCCCATCTCACACCTCACACAAAATACATTCTAAAGCAAGGTTTCTTACTGTCGGAACTATTGACATTTGGGGCTAAATGACTCTTTGCTGGCGGGAGGGTCTGTGCATTATTGGATGTTTAATAGCATACTAGCTTCCACTTACCAGATGCTGGTCGAACACCCACCTTCCGAGTTGTGAAACCAAAAATGTCTCTAGACATTGACAACTGTCCTCTGGGGGGGCAAAATCACCCCTGCTTGCCAACTACATTCTAGATCAGCATTGCCAACAGAACTTGCTGTGATGATGAAAATGTTCCATTTCAGTGTTTTCCAATATGGCAGCCACAAGCCACATGTGGCTACTGACCACTTAAAGTATGGCTAGGGTAACTGAGAATTTTTAATTTTATCAAAGTTTAATTTTAATTTAGATAGTCACCTGTGGTTACTGGATAAGATAGCATAGTGCACATCTAAATATATTAAAAACTAATTGTGAAAAAACAAAACTTTTTTTTAGGATTTTTTAATATTTTATTTATTTTTTCTTCCTTTTATTTCATCATATTATGGAGGTACAAATATTGTTAGGCTTACATATATTGCCCCTGCGCCCCTCCCTCCCCCCAATGTGCCAGAGATTCAAGAGTGTCCCATTCCCCGGTGGTGCGCACTGCACACGTTATGTAAGTACACACCCCTCTCCTCTTCTCCCCTCCCGCCTGCCCACCACCCGATAAAAAGATTTTTTTTCTTTTTTGTTTGTTTGTTTGTTTGACATTTTGGTTACATTGTATATCTTTGCCTCTCCCTAAGAAGGGTTAGAGTTATGCCCTTCCCCTCCAAAATGCTCACACATCCCTAAGATTGGGTGTCCCCCGGCCCCGAATCCCTGGTGAGCATTGCCACCATTTGAAAACCATAGTTTTAATCAGTCAGTACCAATTTGATGGCGAGTAGATGTGAGGCCCATTTTCCATGTTTTATGTTGCCTCACTTTAGATAATGGGCTTAAGCTTAATCCAGGACAGCATAAATGGTGCTAGCTCACTGTCATTTCTTAGGATTGAGTAATATTCCATTGTGAGCATAAACCACATTTTAGTTATCCACTCATGAATTGATGGACACTTGGGTCGTTTCCATGACAATGCAATACTGAATTGTGCTGCTATAAACATTCGGGTGCAGATGCCTTTATAATAGAATGTCTTATGCTCTTTTGGGTAGATGCCCAACAATGCTATTGCTGGGTCAAATGGTATTTCTATTTCTAGCTGTTTGAGGTATCTCCAAATTCTTTTCCACAAAGGTTGCCCTAATTTGCAGTCCCACCAGCAGTGTAAGAGTGTTCCTGTCTCTCTGCATCCTCGCCAGCATTTGTTGTTTTGGGATTTCTTGATATTGGCCATTCTTACTGGGGTTAGGTGGTATCTCATTGTGGTTTTGATTTGCATTTCTCTGATGATTAGAGATGTTGAGCATTTTTTTATATGTTTGCAGGCCATTATTCTGTCTTCTTTGGAGAGGTTTCTGTTCATTTCCGTCACCCATTTCTTGATGGGATTGTTTTATTTTTTCTTAATTCTTTTAAGTTCTAGATAGATTCTTGTTATTAGACCTTTATCAGAGGTGTAGAGAGCAAATATTTGGTCCCACTCTGTGGGTTGTCTATTTGCTCTAATGATGGTTTCCTTGGCTGTGCAGAAACTTTTTGATTTGATCAGATCCCATTTGTTTATTTTTGATGCTGCAGTGATTGCCTTGGGGGTCTTCCTCAAAAATTCTTTGCCTAGACCAATGTCTGATAGGGTTTTCCCAACATCTTATCCTAGGATCCTTAAGGTTTCATGCCTTAAGCTTAAGTCTGTTATCCTTCTTGAGTGAATTTCTGTGAGAGATGAGAGGTAGGGATCCTGATTTGCTCTTCTGCATGTAGCTAACCAGTTTTCCCAGCACCATTTATTGAAGAGAGATTCTTTTCCCCATTGTATATTTTTGTCAGCTTTATCAAAGATTAGATTACCATATACTGATGGTTTCATCTCTGGTATCTCAGATCTATTCCAGATATCCATACTTCTGTTCTTGGGCCAGTACCAGGCTAATTTAACTATTATTGCTTTATAGTACAGCTTGAAGTCAGGAAGATTGATGCCTCCCAGTTTGTTCTTTTTATTTAAGATTGCTTTGGCTATACGAGGTTTTTTCTGGTTCCATACGAAGTGAAGAATTATTTTTTCTAGATCTGTAAAGAATGCTGATGGTATTTTGATGGGGATTGCATTAATTCTATAGATAACTTTAGGTAATATTGACATTTTAACTATATTGATTCTGCCAATCCATGAACAAGGTAGATTTTTCCATCTGTTCAAATCATCTGCAATTTCTTTTCTTAGTGTTTTGTAGTTCTCCTTGTATAAATCTTTTGTATCTTTCGTTAAGTATACTCCTAGATATTTAATTTTCTTTGGGGCTATAATAAAGGGTATTGCGTTTTTGATTTGAGTTTCTGCTTGATGGTTCTTGGCATATATGAATGCTTCTGATTTGTGTATATTGATTTTATAACCTGAAATTTTACCAAATCCAGTTATCAAGTCTAGGAGTCTCTTGGAAGAGTCCATGGGGTTTTCTAGGTATAATATCATATCATCGGCAACGAGCAAGAGTTTGATTTCATCTGCTCCCACTTGAATGCCCTTAATACCCCTCTCCTGCCTGATTGCTATAGCTAGGACTTCAAGCACTATGTTGAATAGGAGAAGAGATAGTGGGCATCCTTGTCTAGTTCCAGTTCGAAGGGGGAATGATTTCAACTTTCCCCCATTTAGAATGACAGTAGCAGTGGGTTTGTCATAGATGGATTTGATAATTTTAAGGTAAGAGCCACCTATGCCTATTTTGTTGAGTTTTTATCATAAAGGTATGTTGGACTTTGTCAAATGCTTTTTCTGCATCTATTGACAGAATCATATGGTCTTTGTTCTTGATTTTATTTATGAAGTGAATTGCATTTATAGACTTGCATATGTTGAACCATCTTTGCATCTCTGGAATAAAGCCCACCTGGTCATGGTGAATTTTTTTTTTTTTGAATTATTTTTTTGATGTGCTGCTGAATTCTATTTGCTAAATTCTATTCACTAATTTAATTTAGGATTTTTGCATCTGTATTCATGAGGGATATTGTTCTGTAATTTTCTGAAAAAGTAAAACTTTTAAAGTATATTAATAACCAGAGAATAAGGAAGCCTTTCTTAAAGAAAATGCAAAACACTTAAGGGCAAATGAATAAGTTTAATTTCCTCAAACTTCCACCAAATCTATAGTAGTTAGCCTCTAAGATTTCCATCCTTCTGGTATTCATACCCTTGTGTAACTGTCTCGCCTTCAATAGGATGGACCTAACAAACAGAATGTGGCCAAGGTAATGGAATGTCTCATGTAAGACTAGGCTACAAAGAGGCTTGGGTTTCTACCTTGCTTCTTTATTTCTTTCTCTTTCTTTCATTCATTCAGAGGGAAGCCTATGACCATGCTCTGAGCTGTCTTAGGGAAAAAGTTCTATGGAGCGAAGAACTGAGTGGGTCCTCTCATCAACAGCCAGAGGGAACTGATGCTCTCAGCTCGACAACACACAACAAATCAAGCCCTGAGGAACACTCCCCCATGAGCCTTCAGATGAGACCACAGACTCAATGACAGCTTGGCTGACACCTCAGGAGAGACACTGTGCCACAGGAACTCAGCTAAGCGACACTGTGCCACAGGAACTCAGCTAAGCCATACCTGGATTCCTGATTCACTGGAACTGAGATAATAAATGTTTTAAGTTTCTGAGTTGTGGGGTAATTTGTTATGCAGTAATTGATAACTAATATAATAAATACATAACAAAGCACCAAAAACAAAAGCCAAAGCCACAGCCTGTCAGAAGATATTTACAATGCATATAACCAGCAAAAAACCAGTATCCAGAATATATAAAGAATTCCTACAAAACAACGAGAAAAAGACAACACAATGAAAAAAACATGCAAAAGATGTGAAAGGGGAATCACAGAAACCTAAATGGTCAATGAACATGTGAAGAGAAATAAAAAAATGCAAATTAAAATCACAGTGACCAGGCATCTCATGCCCATTAGATTTATGGAAATGCATATCTTTCAATACCAAGGGCCATGAGCAATTGGGAACTGAGCAAACTTAACACGAACAAAGACATCAACCCAGACATCCGTCTTCTGGGTACACAGTCCAGAGAAATGCTCACAAGAAGACATGCATGAGGAAGTCTGCTGCAGCATTGTCTGTAATAGCAAAACATCAGAAAACCCAAAAAAACTGCCAAGTGAACATAACTGTATTACATAGGAGTTAAAAAGAATGAACTATAGGATACAGATCGTGAAAACAACACAATGATACAAAACAATGAAACAAATTTGCAGAGAGAAAATGTAAAACTACACTTACATAATTTAAAATACCCACAAACAATGGATACTGTGCAAGCAATATAGGAGTATAAAGCCAGGACTGGAAAGATATGTACTAGCTCTTTCCAGAAGGGGTAACCACAGGTGAGGGAGGGAAACTGGACCAGGGTAGGAGAAGGTGGAATGGGGTGGGGGGAGGTGAACTAGCCATTATTTCTTTCTTAAAAATCTGGATCAAATATGGCAAAATGCATTAACATTTCTCATATCTGGGAGGTGAGACATGCATGTTGGGTACATTTTTCTGTATATTTTGTTTGAAATATTCTGTTTGAAATATTTTGCAGTAAAGATATTAGAAGCTTTTTTAGCAAGTGACATCTACTGAGCACTCAAGTGTTGGGTACTGTCTTAAG